TTGGCTTCTTTTTTTCTTTTTTTTTTGGTACCGGGGATCGAACTCGGGACCTTGCACTTGCGAGGCAGGCAGCGGCACCACTGAGCTAAACCCCTGGCCCTTGGCTTCTTTTTTCTAAATGGTAGACCATTTTTTTAAGAACCTCTCAAAGAATAAAGGCAACATCGAGGTACTCTGTAGTCCTGCCTTTTAGTCTTAAGGACTCTGTGTGTGTGCGTGCGTGCGTGCGTGTAGAGTGCTGGAAATTTAATCTAGGCAAGTGTTCTACCACTGAGCTTTATCCCCATTTCTAATCTTACAGACTTTAAAAAAAATTTTTTTTGGAGACAAAGTCTTGCTCTGTAGTTCAGACTGGCCTTGAACTCACATTGTAGCCCAGGCTGGCCTTGAACTTGAGGTGATCCTCCTGTCTCAGCCACCTGAGGGCTGGTATTACAGGCATGTGCCACCACACCCAACTCTAGATTTAAGGGCTTCGAAGTAAAGATTGAAGTGTTTAAGACCTTTAGTCTTACAATCAGTGTGTTATTGGGGTGATAGTCCTTGGAGCTGGATGATGAGTATGTGAGAGTTTATTATACAAGTCTATGTTTATATGAGATTTTCCATAATAAAATGTTTAAGAAAATAATATTATAACCTATCCCCCATAAAATAGGTTGTTCTACAAAGAGAAAATCTTAACCATACAAGATTGAAAAACAGCATGCCCAGCCTTGAATGAGACTAGGGTGTGCTCTGCTGGAAGGTTCCCTTTCTCTTATCTTCCTGGCCACCTGCAGCCCGTAAGTCTGCACAAGAAAGCTGCAGAGCCATGTGGAGAATGAGACTTTAGCTGGTGGCCCTCCTCCTCCTTCATGTTTTCTGTCTCACCTCCTGACTTCTGGGTTTCTAGAATGTGACCTACCCAAGTGTTGCAAGGACCACTGACTGACAATTTATGAAGCCCAGGGTTCCTCAGGGCAGGAACACTGTAGCTATTTCTGAGCATTTGTATCCATGTGCCCATGTCATGGCAGGTGTGTATTTGTAGCCCCAGAGACCCAAAACTGAAACTGCCACTGTCTTTTCTATACATCATGTTTGTTAACACTTTCTAACCATTCCCAGCAAGGAATTTTGGAGGCCTGGAATGATTCTGAAAATATCCAGGAATGCACAGAATTTCCATTGTATTGAAAAAAAACTGCACTGGGCCTGGGATGTAGCTCAGTGGTGCCACATTTGCCTGGCAAGCCCAAGGTCCGGAGTTTGAGCCCTGGTACTGGGAAAAAAAAAAAGAAAAGAAACTGCATTTGAAGACGAAACAATGCAATATCTGCTTATAGGATGCCAAATGTAAATTTGAACTCTTTGAGAAAACAGTATGATATTATTTATTGAAAGTCTTCGAGTACTCATAACTTTAAACCTAATAATTTCAATTTGTGGATCTAATTTAAATAACCACTTGGAAATAGAGAAAAATCTTTATGTATTAATATATTCACCACAGTGGAAATACATAGAGATACAGTAATCAGGAGATGATTAAGGAAACGTTGGTGTATCAACCTGTTGCAACCATAATAGGAATAGCTGACATTTCTTGGCTGTTTAGCATGTGCCAGGCAATATAATAAATGCTTCAAATGGGTTAACCTAAAGCATCCTCAGTCTGACTTGTTACTGTTGTGATCCCATTTTACAGCTGAGTAAATTGAGGCTTAAAGAGGTTAAGCAGCATATCCAGGGTCACATATTAGTCAGTGAGTGGTGGAGCCTAGCTTCAGGGCATTGCTAGCAGTGGGATTCCATAGCCCAAGCTAACATGTTCCTGCTGGCTTGAACCACTGGTGGTGGTACATACATGGCTGTCCCATCAAGCGGCTGTATCACCCAATGGGACTGTCGCACCCTGCCTAGTGAAACAGTCATGCATGTACCACTGGTGGTTCAGAACTGCATGGCAGCAAGGTGTATGAATTAGAGCCTTGTCATGGATGTGTTAATGATTTTTTGTGTGTGTGTGGTGCTGGGAATGGAACCCAGGGCCTCATGCGTGCTGGGCTAGCGCTGTACTATTGAGCCACACCTCAGACCCAATGACTGTGCTATTACAGTACCCAAGAAGTATGCCTAGAATAATAGAAAAATGTGTATGATAAAATTTTATGTACATACTATACATATAGTATTACGTGTCTTAAAGACATGCATGAGAAAAGGAGCACACTGAAATGTTTGCCATGGTCATGTTGGAGAAGCATGTTAGTATATTCTCCAGTTGCCATTGAATCCACCTAGCCTCACTTAAGCATAAACAGAGAAGTGATATGGTCAGATGTTTGGATAATTAACATGTGTCACGCACAGCTGGATCCAGAGGCTCAGTAAAGGGAGCAGGACCCTCTCTCCCTTTGTATTTCCTGTCTTTTCAATAATCCCAGTAAAGTTTCCTGCACATCTCCTAAGACTGACTCATTGGCCCATTTGGGTCACAGATCTGTCCCTGGACTTTTCTTCAGCCTACAGATATATTGGTCAGAATTGTCATAACTCCGTCTTGTACCCATCCCTGGAACCAGGGTTGGGTCAGTCTCACGTAAGCTATGTGGACTGAGAATGGGGAGGGCTGCTTCCCGAAGGACAATCTATCAGAACATGGGAGGGGAACAGGCTACCAGGCAGGCATAAGCACTAGCCACTGGGATCAAACTATGGGTTATTATTTTTCTATTAAAAATTTTAAAATGCTGGGTGTGGTGGCACATGCCTGTAGTCCTTGCACTTGGGATGCTGAGGCAAGAGGATTGCCATGAGTTTGAGGCCAGCCTGGATTACATAGTGAGTTCAAGGCCAGCCTGAACTACGTACCGGGACCCTGTCTCAAAAATAAATAAATAAATGAATAAATAAATAAATAAAATTTTTTTAAATGTCCTCCTTGCTGTTCATAGACTTTACCGATAAAACCATCTGGGACAGTTTTCTTTGGAGGTTTCTCATTGTGAATTCAATTTAATAAATATATGGCTATTCACATATATTTATCTTTTTTTAAAGGTTATTTTGGTGGGGGAGGGAATCTCACTATACAGGCTGCCCTTGAACTTGCTATGTAGCCTAAGCTGTTTTCCAGCTTGCATTCTTCCTGCCTCTGTCTTCTGAGTGCTGGCATTGCAGGCATGTACCACTGTGCCTTTTTTTTTTTCAATATGTAATAATTTCTAAGAAATTTACTCATTTCATCTAAGCTAAAAAAAGTACTGTTCATAATATTCCCTTATTACGCTTTTAAAATCTATACTGATAAGCCAGGCATGATAGCGCACACCTGTGATCCTAGCATGTGGGAGGGTGAGGCAGGAGGATTGCTGTGAGTTCGAGATCACCCTGGGCTACATGGTGAGTTCAAGGGCAGTCTGAAACACCTAGTGAGACCCTGTCTCCAAAAAACAAATCTGTAGTGATAGCCCCATTCTTGATTTTTGTTGTAATTTTTTTCTTTCTCATATCAGTCTAGGTAGATATTTATTAATTGTTGATTTTTTTCAAAGAAGCAACATTTGGTTTTGTTAATTTTTTCCTGTTGTTTGTTTTCTACTTCATTTTATTCCCTTCCAGTTACTTATTCTGGACTATTATTATTATTTTTTGGTACTGGGGATTGAATCCAGGGCCTTTGCACTGAGCTACATCCCTATCCCTAACTCGTTTTATATTTTTAATTTTTTTTTTTTTTTGAGACAGGGTCTTGCTATGTTGCCCACTCTGGGCTTGAACTTGGCATCTTCCTGCCTCAACTTCCCCAAGTGCTGGGATAACAGGCATGCACTATTTTTACCTTCTTAAGGGATAAATCTTAGATCATTGTTTTAGAATCCTCCTTCTTTTGTATTACAGGGATTTAAAGTTATAAGTTTCTAGGGCCAGGAATTTAGCTCAGTGGTTCTGGTGCCTGCCTTGCAAGCGCAAGGTCCCGAGTTCGATCCCTGGTAACAACAACAACAAAAAAGTTATAAGTGTCTAAGTATTTATTAAACTGCATCTCACAAATTTTGACATTTTATATTTTATGATTCTTTTTTTTTTTTTTTGGTACTGGGGATACTTGCGCTTGTGCAGCAGGTGGCGAAACCACTGAGCTAAATCCCTGGTCCTATATTTTATGATTCTTATTCTGGTTTGAAATATTTTTAAATTTCTCCTGTGGTTTCTTCTATGACCAACAGAAATATATTAATTAATATCCTAATATTGTTTTCCAGATTATCATGTTAATGATACCTAGTTTTATTTCATTGGAATATGAGCAATACTAAGATGTCACTAATGTTTGAACTTTATTAAAACTTACTTTACAGACCAGCATATGACTTATTTTGGTGAACATATTTTGTGGACTTGAAAATAATATGTATTCTGCAGTTGCTGACTGAATGCCCCAGAAATATCAGTCAGGTCAAGGTTGTTGATAATGTTATTCAGATGTATGTCTTTAACTTTGTTTAGTTCTGTCAGTACTGGGAGAGGAGTGTTAAAATCTCAACTGTGGTTATAGATTTGTCCATTTCTCTGTTTGGTTCTGATCATTCTGAGCTGTGTTGCTGGGCTTCTTGGTTTTGGTTTTGCCATACTGGGGATTAAACTGAGGGGCACTCTTCCATGGAGCTATACCGCTAGCCCCAAGGTACTGTTTGTTTGTTTTCCTGGTACTGGGGATTGAACCCTGGACTCATACATACTAGGCAATTCCTCTACCACTGAGCTACATCCCCAGCACACACACACACACACACACACACACACACGCACACACCCTGCTTTGAGACAGAGTCTTGCTGATCTTGAACTTGCAGTCCTCCTGCCTCCGCCTCAGCCTCCCAAGTAGCTGGGATTGCTGGCTTGCACCACCTCACCCAGCTCCCAATATACTATTTTTTTAAATCAGAAAAGTAATTTCAAGAAAATCTCATCAATTCAGCCAGCAGTTATGCTCATATTTATTTGTTCTACAGGATAATGAAAGCCCTTGCAAATGTTGGAGTATCTGTCCCCAGGGTTCTTGACCTTTGTGAAGATTCAAGGTAAAGTTCAGATGTACTTTTTGCTATTACATGTTGAATCTACAGAGAGAAGGTGCACTTACTCAAATGCGAGTTTGTTAGGGTGAAGACAAGTCAAATTTGGACCAGAGAGAAAAGAGACTGTAGAGCAACCTCCCTCAGAAGTTCTCAGGTCTTTAATTTATCCTGAAAGATAAAGGCACTGCTTGCTTTCAAGGGGCTTGGTAGAAAACAGCTTTCTTTAACATTCTCTCTCTTTTTTTTTTTTTTTT